GTGTTTGAACCGACACGGGATATTAAATATAATTTTTTTTTTTTTATTAAGAAATGAGGTACATCTGCATTAGTGCAGCTACCCTAGACTATATGAAGTGGAGTACAGTGTGTCAAAAAAGCTAACTAGGTGATGCTAAGAAATCCCCATCACACAGGATGGTTAGTCATACAGAGGCATGTGATAGGCGGTCTGCACTGGCAGACTTCAGATGCATTTTGAGGATATCATCAACACAAGATTGAATAAGGTATCAGTAGTAATACAAGTCTCCATCTCGCAGGATGGTTAGTCATACAGAGCCATGTGTTTAATAGCCTGCACTGGCTAATTTTGGGTACACTATGAGGATATCTTCAAGAATACGAGAGTGAATAAAGTAATTGCAAAGCTCCAGGTACCTCATGCCAACTGGTCTGAAAGGTCTAATAACTTGGCATTCAGTGATGTAGTGCGGGAGATCGTGCCGTTGTTCCTGCTCACAGAGTTTGCAACTGGAGTGCTCAGGATTGGGAGACCCGTCACCTGCAGCCACCTGCCACAGGTAACGATAACCCAACCTGATCCTTGCAACCACTGTGTCGCACAGTCTAGTGGACGTTATGTGCTGTCCATAGATATAGGTTTCAGATCTGAACAAATCATAGCTTTTTATACTAGTACTTTCAGGTCGTTGGGAGTCAGTAAGTTCTTTCCTATCAGATCTGAATGTTTGGACCAATACAGTTTTGACAGCAGAGATGGGGATACCTAGATCTAATTCAACTTCAGACTTGTTACACGCTAATTTGGCTGCAATGTCTGTCTCATTATGATGGGTTATATTTATGTGTGAAGGTATCCATACAAAGGAGATTCGAGACCCTTTACTCTGTGCATCAATTAGGTCATTTATAATTGGGAGTATGAGGTTCTTGCAGTCGATCTTCCAAGAGAAGTTTTCGATTGCTTGAAGAGCAGACTTTGAATCACAGAATATTATTCCTCCTCCAATGTTTTTTAATGTACTGGTTGCTAAATGTATTGCTGCTAGTTCTGCTTGTGTGGAGGTCAGCCAGTTGTTTAACCTGACACTGACAGTCTTTGTGCAAATATTATTTCTTTAAAACCTACATGCCGCTGCAGTCCGTCCAGTAGAGGATTGGACTGAGCCGTCGGTGTAGACACAGTGCTCGTGAGATCTTAAACTCTCGATGGAGGAGGCAATTGTTTCAAGAGTGACAGCTTTGAGAAGAGCAAGATTCTCATTATCTTTCTTGGTGACAGGTGTGTATGATACTTGAATGGTGGGGTACAGATAAAGAGGAATGTCAGAGACAGGTAGATTGCACTTAAAAGGAATGTTTAGTTTAATGAGATTGTAAGCATTGTTGCCCAGCCAATTATCATAAAAGGAGTGAGTTGGTATATCGGCACCAGTCAAAAGGGTGTTAACAGCACTACATAATTTGTCTCTGAGCAATGCAGGAGATGTAGGGTCTCTCATGACTTTAAGGCAAAAGGTAGTGTTGACTTGCATTATTCTCTCTAGTATGGTTGGAAGCTTCAGTTCTTCCCTCATGTTGATGATTCTTGTGCATCTTGGAGCACCAAGAATTATCCTCATGGCCTCATTCTGTACTACTTCAAGTTTGTCCAACACAGAGGAGGGGAAATTAATTAAGTGCAGAGCATTATAATCAACGAGACATACAACGAACATCATATAGAATAGTCTAGCATATTTAATATTGATACCAATATTCTTACCAGTAAGTGTTCTCAATGGTTTTAGTCCTTCTTTTAACCTACGGTGTAGATAATTTACAATGTCACTGTTAATACCAACTCCAAGGTATTTATGCTGCCTACACGTTTCAATGTTCTGGTTGTTGCCCTTGAAAGCTATGGGGACATGAGTTTTCTCTTGGGGATGGAGAACTCTGGATTTAGTTGTAGAGATAACAAGACCACATTCAATGCTTTTAGCAGCGAATGAATCAAGTAGAGCTTGCAGTCTAGTTTGGGAATTTGCAACAATGCATATATCATCGGCATAACAAATGACGGCTTCGTCAGGTAGTGTGGGAATATCAATTGTTAATTTGTGCATCAGAACATTGAACAGTGTAGGACTTTGCACTCCACCCTGGGGTGTACCCAACTCAAAGGGTGCACAGAGTTTACTTTTGACCCCCTTGAAAAGGACTGAGGCGGTTCTGTTACTCCCGCCTCAGTCCTTTTCAAGGGGGTAAAATTAAATATAATGCATCATTGTGAAGTTAAGAAAGTCTACAGAAACTGCCAACCACATTTCACAATGTCGAGGTGTTCGCCATAGTAGCAGATTGTCTTTAAGCAATGGTGGGGTGGGGGTGGCCGATCCGCCCATGTTAGTACCCTACCCTACATCAGTCACCGTACAAAGTTGGGTGAGCTGTCCCCGAGGATCTGTAACCTCTATCCTTGGAGACCAAGAGACTGACAGACCTATAAGCGCCATCACTGGTGAGACGCGCTGCACAATATTGGAATATTCTCACGTTTGTGTTTACGTTGTTTAAGTCAGCCTCTCTGCTTGCCTGTATAAGTCCCTTCAACAAGTACAGGTTGTGGCGTTTTCTGGTTAGGTTAAAACGGTTGGATTTCGTACGTTGAGGCAAATCGAAAGAAAGGGAGCTGGCAACTCCCTCAAGACTTAGTGGTATGTAAGGCTTAAGGCTGAGGTCAAGGAATGACTTTCAGTTGGTCATACTGACCAGGTCACCCCTGACCACCCCTCCCCCCCTCCCTCAACCCCCTTGGCCCTTCTACACACTCTGTCACTGTAGCCGTCTTCACTACACACCGTGTGTGTGTGAGTCACAGTAGCCATCTTCACTACACACCGTGTGTGTGTGTCACAGTAGCCATCTTCACTACACACTGTGTGTGTGTGTCACAGTAGCCATCTTTACTACACACTGTGTGTATGTATCACAGTAGCCATCTTCACTACACACTGTGTGTGTCACAGTAGCCAACTTCACTACACACTGTGTGTGTCACAGTAGCCATCTTCACTACACACTGTGTGTGTCACAGTAGCCGTCTTCACTACACACTGTGTGAGTGTCACAGTAGCCATCTTCACTACACACTGTGTGTGTCACAGTAGCCATCTTCACTACACACTGTGTGTGTCACAGTAGCCGTCTTCACTATACACTGTGTGAGTGTCACAGTAGCCATCTTCACTACACACTGTGTGTGTCACAGTAGCCATCTTCACTACACACTGTGTGTGTGTCACAGTAGCCATCTTCACTACACACTGTGTGTGTCACAGTAGCCATCTTCACTACACACTGTGTGTGTGTCACAGTAGCCATCTTCACTACACACTGTGTGTGTCACTGTAGCCATCTTCACTACACACTGTGTGTGAGTGTCACAGTAGCCATCTTCACTACACACTGTGTGTGTCACAGTAGCCATCTTCACTACACACTGTGTGTGTCACAGTTGCCATCTTCACTACACACTGTGTGTGTGTCACAGTAGCCATCTTCACTACACACTGTGTGTGTGTCACAGTAGCCATCTTCACTACACACTGTGTGTGTGTCACAGTAGCCATTTTCACTACACACTGTGTGTGTCACAGTAGCCATCTTCACTACACACTGTGTGTGTCACTGTAGCCATCTTCACTACACACTGTGTGTGTGTGTCACAGTAGCCATCTTCACTACACACTGTGTGTGTCACAGTAGCCATCTTCACTACACACTGTGTGTGTGTCACAGTAGCCATCTTCACTACACACTGTGTGTGTCACAGTAGCCATCTTCACTACACACTGTGTGTGTGTCACAGTAGCCATCTTCACTACACACTGTGTGTGTCACAGTAGCCATCTTCACTACACACTGTGTGTGTGTCACAGTAGCCATCTTCACTACACACTGTGTGTGTCACTGTAGCCATCTTCACTACACACTGTGTGTGAGTGTCACAGTAGCCATCTTCACTACACACTGTGTGTGTCACAGTAGCCATCTTCACTACACACTGTGTGTGTCACAGTAGCCATCTTCACTACACACTGTGTGTGTGTCACAGTAGCCATCTTCACTACACACTGTGTGTGTGTCACAGTAGCCATCTTCACTACACACTGTGTGTGTGTCACAGTAGCCATCTTCACTACACACTGTGTGTGTCACAGTAGCCATCTTCACTACACACTGTGTGTGTCACTGTAGCCATCTTCACTACACACTGTGTGTGTGTGTCACAGTAGCCATCTTCACTACACACTGTGTGTGTCACAGTAGCCATCTTCACTACACACTGTGTGTGTGTCACAGTAGCCATCTTCACTACACACTGTGTGTGTCACAGTAGCCATCTTCACTACACACTGTGTGTGTGTCACAGTAGCCATCTTCACTACACACTGTGTGTGTCACAGTAGCCATCTTCACTACACACTGTGTGTGTCACAGTAGCCATCTTCACTACACACTGTGTGTGTGTCACAGTAGCCATCTTCACTACACACTGTGTGTGTCACAGTAGCCGTCTTCACTACACACTGTGTATGTCACAGTAGCCATCTTCACTACACAATGTGTCCTTTTTGTCACTGTAACAATCTTCACTGTAAGCCAATTCTTCGTCACACACTATCTTCGTCACTCTAAACCATCATCACTACTCTATCATCACCGTAACCATCTCTGCCACACAGTAGTCATCATCCATCTTCACTATACGCGACCGTCTTCGTGTAACCACCATACCTACACACACCACCTTTCAATATTGTAGCGCATCTACACTACACAATGTCATCATCATCACTGCATCACTACAACATATACACTATCATCATCTTCCTCACCATCTTCTCTCTATATCTCGCCGGCTATATTCTCCTTAACCATCTCCCTCACTCTCCATCACTCTCCACACACTTCTTCACCATTGGTCTCCTTCTTTAACCCTTCACCATCAGCCTTGTCCTTCTCCATCAGCCTTGCCCTTCTCCATCAGCCTTGCCCTTCACCATCAGCCTTGCCCTTCACCATCAGCCTTGCCCTTCACCATCAGCCTTGCCCTTCACCATCTACCTTGCCCTTCACCATCAGTCTTGCCCTTCACCATCAGACTTGCCCTTCTCCATCAGCCTTGCCCTTCACCATCAGCCTTGCCCTTCTCCATTAGCCTTGCCCTTCACCATCAGCCTTGCCCTTCTCCATCAGCCTTGCCCTTCACCATCAGACTTGCCCTTCTCCATCAGCCTTACCCTTCACCATCAGACTTGCCCTTCTCCATCAGCCTTGCCCTTCTCCATCAGCTTTGCCCTTCACCATCAGCCTTGCCCTTCTCCATCAGCCTTGCCCTTCACCATCAGCCTTGCCCTTCACCATCAGCCTTGCCCTTCTCCATTAGCCTTGCCCTTCACCATCAGCCTTGCCCTTCTCCATCAGAATTGCCCATCACCATCAGCCTTACCCTTCACCATCAGCCTTGCTCTTCTCCATCAGCCTTGCCCTTCACCATCAGCCTTGCCCTTCACCATCAGCCTTGCCCTTCACCACCTTCCCTTCATCACTGTATCCATCGTCTAACATCCGGTCTCAATAAATACAAACTGTCATTTAGTCATCTTGTCTTTAGCTAGAAGGGTAGGGAAGGTGGTGAAGGGTAGGGAAGGTGGTGAAGGGTAGGGAAGATGGTGAAAGGTAGGGAAGGAGGTAAAGGTTAGGGAAGGTGGTGAAGGGTAGGGAAGTTGAAAGGTAGGGAAGGTGGTGAAGGGTAGGGAAGGTGGTGAAGGGTAGGGAAGGTGGTGAAGGGTAGGGAAGGTGGTGAAGGGTAGGGAAGGTGGTGAAGGGTAGGGAAGGTGGTGAAGGGTAGGGAAGGTGGTGAAGGGTAGGGAAGGTGGAGAAGGGTAGGGAAGGTGGTGAAGGGTAAGGAAGGTGGAGAAGGGTAGGGAAGGTAAAGGGTAGGGAAGGTAGTGAAGGGTAGAAAAGGTGGTGAAGGGTAGGGAAGGTGGTGAAGGGTAGGGAAGGTGGTGAAGGGTAGGGAAGGTGGTGAAGGGTAGGGAAGGTGGTGAAGGGTAGGGAAGGTGGTGAAGGTTAGGGAAGGTGGTGAAGGGTAGGGAAGGTGGTGAAGGGTAGGGAGGCTGGTGAAGGGTAGGGAAGGTGGTGAAGGGTTGGGAAGGTGGTGAAGGGTAGGGAAGGTGGTGAAGGGTAGGGAAGGTGGTGAAGGGTAGGGAAGGTGGTGAAGGGTAGGGAAGGTGGTGAAGGGTAGGGAAGGTGGTGAAGGGTAGGGAAGGTTGTGAAGGGTAGGGAGGCTGGTGAAGGGTAGGGAAGGTGGTGAAGGGTAGGGAAGGTGGTGAAGGGTAGGGAAGGTGGTGAAGGGTGGAGAAGGTGGAGAAGGGTAGGGAAGGTGGTGAAGGGTAGGGAAGGCTGATGAAGGGTAGGGAAGGTGGTGAAGGGTAGGGAAGGTGGTGAAGGGTAGGGAAGGTGGTGAAGGGTAGGGAAGGTGGTGAAGGGTAGGGAAGGTGGTGAAGGTTAGGGAAGGTGGTGAAGGGTAGGGAAGGTGGTGAAGGGTAGGGAGGCTGGTGAAGGGTAGGGAAGGTGGTGAAGGGTAGGGAAGGTGGTGAAGGGTAGGGAAAGTGGTGAAGGGTAGGGAAGGTGGTGAAGGGTAGGGAAGGTGGTGAAGGGTAGGGAAGGTGGTGAAGGGTAGGGAAGGTGGTGAAGGGTAGGGAAGGTTGTGAAGGGTAGGGAGGCTGGTGAAGGGTAGGGAAGGTGGTGAAGGGTAAGGAAGGTGGTGAAGGGTAGGGAAGGTGGTGAAGGGTGGAGAAGGTGGAAAAGGGTAGGGAAGGTGGTGAAGGGTAGGGAAGGCTGATGATGGGTAGGGAAGGTGGTGAAGGGTAGGGAAGGTGGTGAAGGGAAGGGAAGGTGGTGAAGGGTAGGGAAGGTGGTAAAGGTTAGGGAAGGTGGTGAAGAGTAGGGAAGGTGGGGAAGGGTAGGGAGGCTGGTGAAGGGTAGGGAAGGTGGTGAAGGGTAGGGAAGGTGGTGAAGGGTAGGGAAGGTGGTGAAGGGTAGGGAAGGTGGTGAAGGGTAGGGAAGGTGGTGAAGGGTAGGGAAGGTGGTGAAGGGTAGGGAAGGTGGTGAAGGGTAGGGAAGGTTGTGAAGGGTAGGGAGGCTGGTGAAGGGTAGGGAAGGTGGTGAAGGGTAGGGAAGGTGGTGAAGGGTAGGGAAGGTGGTGAAGGGTGGAGAAGGTGGTGAAGGGTAGGGAAGGTGGTGAAGGGTAGGGAAGGCTGATGAAGGGTAGGGAAGGTGGTGAAGGGTAGGGAAGGTGGTGAAGGGTAGGGAAGGTGGTGAAGGGTAAGGAAGGTGGTGAAAGGTAGGGAAGGTGGTGAAGGGTAGGGGAGGCTGGTTAAGGGTAGGGAAGGTGGTGAAGGGTAGGGAAGGTTGTGATGGGTAGGGAAGGTGGTGAAGGGTAGGGAAGGCTGAGGAAGGGTAGGGAAGGTGGTGAAGGATAGGGGAGGCTGGTGAAGGGTAGGGAAGGTGGTGAAGGGTAGGGAAGGCTGGTGAAGGGTAGGGAAGGTAGTGAAGGGTAGGGAAGGTGGTGAAGGGTAGGGAAGGTGGTGAAGGGTAGGGAAGGTGGTGAAGGGTAGGGAAGGTGGTGAAGGATATGGAAGGCTGGTGAAGGGTAGGGGAGGCTGGTGAAGGGTAAGGAAGGTGGTGAAGGGTAGGGAAGGTGGTGAAGGGTAGGGAAGGTGGTGAAGGGTAGGGAAGGTGGTGAAGGGTAGGAAAGGTGGTGAAGGGTAGGGAAGGCTGATGAAGGGTAGGGAAGGTGGTAAAGGGTAGGGGAGGCTGGTGAAGGGTAGGGAAAGTGGTGAAGGGTAGGGAAGGTGGTGAAGGGTAGGGAAGGCAGGTGAAGGGTAGGGAAGGTGGTGAAGGGTAGGGAAGGTGGTGAAAGGTAGGGAAGGTGGTGAAGGGTAGGGAAGGTGGTGAAGGGTAGGGAAGGTGGTGAAGGGTAGGGAAGGTGGTGAAGGGTAGGGAAGGTAGTGAAGGGTAGGGAAGGTGTTGAAGGGTAGGGAAGGCTGGTGAAGGTTGGGGAAGGTGGTGAAGGGTAGGGGAGGGTGGTGAAGGGTAGGGAAGGTGGTGAGGGGTAGGGGAGGTGGTAAAGGGTAGGGGAGACTGGTGAAGGGTAGGGAAGGTGGTGAAGGGTAGGGGAGGTGGTGAAGGGTAGGGGAGGCTGGTGAAGGGTAGGGAAGGGGGTGAAAGGTAGGGGAGGCTGGTGAAGGGTAGGGAAGGTGGTGAAGGGCAGGGAAGGTGATGAGGGGAAGGGAAGATGGTGAGAGGAAGGGAAGATGGTGAAGGATAGGAAAGGTGGTGAAGGGTATGGAAGGTGGTGAAGGGTAGGGAAGGTGGTGAAGGGAAGGGGAGGCTGGTGAAGGGAAGGGAAGGTGGTGAAGGGTAGGGAAAGCTCTTGAAGGGTAGGGAAGGTGGTAAAGGGTAAGGAAGGTGGTGAAGGGTAGGGAAGGTGGTGAAGGGTAGGGAAGGTGGTGAAGGGTAAGGGAGGCTGGTGAAGGGTAGGGGAGGCTGGTGAAGGGTAAGGAAGGTGGTGAAGAGTAGGGAAGGTGGTGAAGGGTAAGGAAGGCTGGTGAAGGGTAGGGAAGGTGGTGAAGGGTAGAGAAGGTGGTGAAGGGTAGGGAAGGTGGTGAAGGGTAGGGAAGGCTGATGACGGGTAGGGAAGGTGGTGAAGGGTAGGGGAGGCTGATGAAGGGTAGGGAAGGTGGTGAAGGGTAGGGAAGGCTGGTGAAGGGTAGGGAAGGTGGTGAAGGGTAGGGAAGGTGGTGAAATATAGGGAAGGTGGTGAAGGGTAGGGAAGGTGGTGAAGGGTAGGGAAGGTGGTGAAGGGTAGGGAAGGTGGTGAAGGGTAGGGAAGGTGGTGAAGGATATGGAAGGCTGGTGAAGGGTAAGGGAGGCTGGTGAAGGGTAAGGAAGGTGGTGAAGGGTAGGGAAGGTGGTGAAGGGTAGGGAAGGTGGTGAAGGGTAAGGAAGGTGGTGAAGGGTAGGAAAGGTGGTGAAGGGTAGGTAAGGCTGATGAAGGGTAGAGAAGGTGGTAAAGGGTAGGGGAGGCTGGTGAAGGGTAGGGAAAGTGTTGAAGGGTAGGGAAGGTGGTGAAGGGTAGGGAAGGCTGGTGAAGGGTAGGGAAGGTGGTGAAGGGTAGGGAAGGTGGTGAAGGGTAGGGAAGGTGGTGAAGGATAGGGGAGGCTGGTGAAGGGTAGGGAAGATGGTGAAGGGTAGGGAAGGTGGTGAAATATAGGGAAGGTGGTGAAGGGTAGGGAAGGTGGTGAAGGGTAGGGGAGGCTGGTGAAGGGTAGGGAAGGTGGTGAAGGGTAGGGAATGTGGGGAAGGGTAGGGAAGGTGGTGAAGGGCAGGGAAGGCTGATGAAGGGTAGGGAAGGTGGTGAAAGGTAAGGGAGGTGTTGAAGGGTAGGGGAGGCTGATGAAGGTTAGGGAAGGTGGTTAAATGTAGGGGAGGCTGGTGAAGGGTAGGGAAGGTGGTGAAGGGTAGGGGAGGCTGGTGAAGGGTAGGGAAGGTGGTTAAATGTAGGGGAGGCTGATGAAGGTTAGGGAAGGTGGTGAAGTGTAGGGGAGGCTGATGAAGGGTAGGGAAGGTGGTTAAATGTAGGGGAGGCTCGTGAAGGGTAGGGAAGGTGGTGAAGGGTAGGGGAGGCTGGTGAATGGTTGGGAAAGTGGTGAAGGGTAGGGAGGCTGGTGAAGGGTAGGGAAGGTGGTGAAGGGTAGGGAAGGTGTTGAAGGGTAGGGGAGGCTGGTGAAGGATAGGGAAGGTGGTGAAGGGTTGGGGAGGCTGGTGAAGGGTAGGGAAGGTGGTGAACGGTAGGGGAGGCTGGTGAAGGGTAGGGAAGGTGGTGAAGGGTAGGGAGTCTGGTGAAGGGTAGGGAAGGTGGTGAAGGGTAGGGAAGGTGGTGAAGGGTAGGGAAGGTGATGAAGGGTAGGGAAGGTGGTGAAGGCTAGAGATGGTGGTGGAGGGTAGGGAAGGTGGTGAAGGGTAGGGAAGGTGGTGAAGGGTAGGGCAGGCTGTTGAAGGGTAGGAAAGGTGGTGAAGGGTAGGGAATGTGGTGAAGGGTAGGGAAGGTGGTGAGGGTAGGGATGGTGGTGAAGGGTGGGGATGCTGGTGAAGGGTAGGGAAGGTGGTGAAGGGTAGGGAAGGTGGTGAAGGGTAGGGAAGGTGGTGAAGGGTAGGGCAGGCTGGTGAAGGGTAGGGAAGGTGGTGAAGGGTAGGGAAGGTGGTGAAGGGTAGGGAAGGTGGTGAAGGGTAGGGATGGTGGTGAAGGGTTGGGATGGTGGTGAAGGGTAGGGATGGTGGTGAAGGGTAAGGATGGTGGTGAAGGGTAGGGAAGGTGGTGAAGGGTAGGGAGGCTGGTGAAGGGTAGAGAAGGTGGTGAAAGGTAGGGGAGGCTGGTGAAGGGTAGGGAAGGTGGTGAAGGGTAGGGAAGGTGGTGAAGGGTAGGGAAGGTGTTGAAGGGTAGGGAAGGCTGGTGAAGGTTAGGGAAAGTGGTGAAGGGTAGGGGAGGCTGGTGAAGG